AAGACGTTACTCCTGAACTGAATTCCCAACCGGATGATGATGATAATGATGATGGAAGTCACTACACTTCTCAGCTACACAATGCTGCTCAAGCGGATGTCGAGGAAGTTACTCCCGAACTGCATTCCCAACCAGATGATTCTATTTATGATGCTTCATCGCATGATAATGATTATTACTATGATGATGATCATGATCATGAAGAAGATTTTGATCGCCAAACTCATCAGATACATAATGTTGCTCAAGGGAATGTCGAGGAAGAATCTCCCGAATACAACCAACAACAGAGATCTTATTATGAAGAAGAATACGATGATGATGATGATGATGATGATCGTGTCATCATCGGCAGAAGTGCAGTTGAAGCTGATCATGAAGCCATCCATAATGAAGATTACCCTAGAGTTCTTATCAAGGGGATATTGTCCGAAAGTGACGAACAGTACGCTGAGAACGCATACGAAGAAGAGAATGAAGAAGAGGAGGACGACACTGATGTTGCTATTGATATTCGTGACAACACCAATGTCGAGGACCAGTTTATTGAATTTGAGGATACTTCGTTCGTTGAGTCTGCTGTAGGCGGTGTTATGGACGATTCTGGACTGAATGATGAAAAACATGGACTACGGGACGATAGGGTAGATGATGAACTTAGAGCAGCAGGGGAAGCAGATGATGTTGGTGTGAAGGGTGGTGGTCAAGGGGCAGCAGTGGCAAAAACAAACAGAGTGAGATTCGCAGACGAAGAAGACGAGCATCAGGGATCAACAGGGGAAACAGTAGTTGGAGCCGATGATGATGGTGATAATGATGGTGTTCAAAGACCAAAAGTGGCATCCACAAGTAGAGTGAGATTTGCAGACGAACGAGACCCTGGTGACAAATATCCGCCCCCTTCTGGTGATGCCAATGGTGACGACTACCACATAGTTCCTGGTTCTTCAAACCAACCATCGTACGACGTCTATGATCACAATAACACAGAAAAATCCCTTGATATGCTTCTTCTTGAAGAAGTCTGCGAAGAAGCCGCAAGCATGACTATCAAAGAAGCTCTCGTACATTCCTTGAAGCCTAACGTCAGGGCAGGCCTTTCCACGGCACACTTAAAACTCTCCGAGTCCGAAGTTTTGGTTCTCGAAGAATACTGTGAGGATTTTGTCGGTGGACTTATCAAGGATCTCCTCAAAAGAAGCTCATTGATGGAGCTTTCAAATAAGACCAAACAGACTGTGGTTAAGGCATCAGTGATTAAGGCCACTGCAAAGCATCTGAGCACGATGGAAGTCCAACAATTGAAAATATACTGCGATCATTTTGTTCATAATGTCATTGCAGAGTCAATTATTGATTCTAACATGATAGTAGCGAGACAACAACACCAGGCAGAAGAGATCAAGGAGCTATTACAAATGTTCCAGAACTCTGAAGAAATGCAGGAATATTTCACGAATTTGACGACGGATATTGTACGAACGGCTTTGCTGAACGTCACAGAGAAAGACGATCTGGAAGAATACAGCCAGGACAAGAAGCAGCCCATTGGATCGAGTGAGTACGAACCGACAGATTTTTCGGAACAGAGAAGCTATCCTGATGAAGGTCTTGAGTTTGAGAACCAAGAAGATGACTTTGATTTTGACAGCAGTCATAGTTTTGGGTTCCCTGTGCACGGCGAAGGATCAGCAGAATATCGAAGATCTAAATCCCAGGACTCTTGGACATCAGAAGACGAGGATGAAATGGGTACCAATGTTGGTGGAGGGAGACAAAGGATGATAGAGAGATCACCTGGGGATAACACGTTTGAATTTGATGAGGAATGGGCTGAGGGTGTCATTGGGAAGATTGAGCCCATGGGAGATGGAGGTAGGTAGACGTTAATAGGCTTAAAGTGTATATGACACGAAAAAATTTTAATGTTAAGAATGTGTAGTTTATTGGCATTAATAAGAATATCACAGTTAAATTTGTTCAAAAACGTATTTCTCTAGAAATTCAAAAAATTTTAGCACGAGTTGTGACGTCATTTTGTTTACAAGTCTCCAGATTTAGTTGCAAATACA